AGAATTTGGATATTATTGTGTGTCCCCATTTTGTTATTAAAGTCATACACCATACCTTAACTATTACACTATGACAGGCTATACTTTGAGCATCCAACAGAAGCTTCATTAAAAAGTCCAGGTTTCCTTTAGATTTATGGTTACTGAAAGGGTTTTTCTCTCTTCTCACTTTCTCTTGCTTTCTTCCTTCCTTCTTCCTTCTCTCCCTCTTCCTCCCTTCCTTCCTTCCTTTCTCTTAGTATTCTTACTAGAGAACATATTACATTCATGGCCTAGTGGAAGACAACACCATTTCTACAATAGAAATCAGTGGGGAAAAATAATTTGCTTAATAGACATTCACTTACTGCAAACTTTAATGGAAGGCATCTATTATATAATTGGGAACTAAAAGCCACATTCTCACATACACTTACCCATTCTATGTTACTCGTGTGTGTATGTGACTTCACTTAGAAAAAAAGTGGTGCTTTTACTTAGATAAAATGGACCTTTTCCACTGCAGAGCATTTAAAAATAAAACGCTTATCTGTCCTGCATTTTCACCACCAACGAATTTTGTCACTGTGTATTCCCCTGATAATCTATCTTAAAGGGACATTTCAAGCAGCAGAAAAATAAAGAATAATATCCCTTAGAAGAATCTGACTTGTAAATAAGGAAAGCTATTAAGTGCTTAGTGTTTTGGGTCTATCGTAAACACTATAAATAATCTCAGACTATACAGCTCACTTGACTTTACCCAGGGAGACTTCACTGTTTTGGTAAGGAACAGCACCATATCGGGCCAATTTTCTGGAACCCAACCTTTATCCTTTTAAGAATAAAACAAAATAAAAGGTGGGAGGGGTGAGGCTGTCAATCAACTAAAATAAAGAGTGTAAGAATGCCAGCAATGCTTGTGTAATATTATGTCTTGTTCATTAAATGGCTAGTTATGGTTGTCAACTACCTAAAATTTTGTGAAAGCACAGAACCAGGTTTTTTTCACACCATCAGTATTTCTATGTAGTTGGAAGTCTCTTTGGATAAACCATTTTAAGACACAGAGTACAAAAATAATCCATCCTAAAAATGCCTTCTATTCTGAGTTCCTGGCATAAAGCTATTGTGTCCAGTGATTTCATATTATGGCCTTCCACACATAAAGGAAATGCTCTGAATCCTAAGGACTAATTACACATCCCCAGACTTCCTCTTTCCACAGAGCTTTTTAATTGGGTACTTTAAGTTGCCAAGTATGTTCAAAAATGGTATTTCAAATAAGCACGCAAAGTAACTGCCGATCTAGAAGAGGAACATTCAACCTCCCCACTTTGGATAAGGAACTGATGCTCTTATTTAAAGCTATTTGTTTTCCAACAGATGACGATAGAGAAATCAAGTATTAAGCTTATTGAATTCATCCACACTCATAATAATATGAATGTTTTAGTATAATTTCAATGCCAAAAGATAAGGTGAGAAAGGGTTAGAAGTCTAAAATTAGACATCATTACTCAAACTGGACGTAAATATATGTACTATATAATAGATATATGCACTTTATTACTTCCTGTAAGCAATTAGTTTAATAATAGACAGAATGGGCTAACTATCTAGGGGCTTAACTTTGTGGTAGACTCAGGTATTTCTGAAGCCTCCCTTCTCCAATAAAACCCTGGGCTTTGATTCAAGAGAAAGGGGTCGATACCACATACAAGGCTCTGCAACATCACACAACCACATAAAACTGTCACCGTGAAATACTGCACTGCATGATTTTGTTACTGCTTCTTTTATTCTTGCAGCAATGGACACACAACCTCAGAGGATGAATTCACCACTTCAAGGCCCGCACCCAGCACTGGATAGGAACAATAAAAATGGTCTTGGGAACAGGAGCCCCCAGGGATGTAGGCACTGTCATCCAATATGACAACAGATCCACCTCTGAATTAATAATTTTTATACTTTCCACAATCTGAGGGTTGTTTTCTTTTCTTTCCCTCAGACAGGAGTACTCCTCCATTTCCCAAAAGAAGCCCAACCCCAAAATTAAATCCAATGCTACTAAACCAGTGAGCAAATTTCCATCATCAGATATTCATATACTAAAGCTAATACCTTAGCTTCAGATTATAACTATGGTTTTCAAAATAAATATCAGGCATTGGCAGGAATCTGTAACCAAGGATCAGAAGATCTGCAAATCCTATCAAAATATATACAAAAGTTTGATGTGTGCTTTTTTGAAAGGAAGGTTTTAGAATATACAGAGTGGTCTGTGACCTACCCCTCCAAAAAGTCAACACCTGATATAAAATTTTCTATTTAATTATGGGGAAAAATCATAAATAGAGCTATCCCAATTGAACAGAATATTGAACAGGAAGTAAATATTGCCCCTTTCTTAGCCTAACATGTTTACCTAAAGAGAATGTGATGACAAACTTTTGTCATTTATGCCATAACAGAAAAAAAAATGTGTTTAATAAAAGATAAGCTGGATCCATGCATGTAATTGGGAAGTTTTTGTTGTTATTATTGTTATGTATTAATGTACAAAAGGGATTCTTTATAGTATGAGCAGAATTTTAAAAGCTGGTAGAAACAAGCCCATTCTCAGGCTTATAAAACAAGCCTTTACAGATAATTATGTTTTATTACTCTTCATTTTATGGGGATTGTGTTATACAAAACAAATACCAGATGCCTATTTGTTTTATTCATTTCAGGGAGAAAAAAAGAATCTTACAAGTACCTCTGCGAATAGAACTGCTTTTAATTAAACACAATGCACAAGGAGCACATAAAAATTAATACTGTTTGAAGCCAGCAGGTAGAAAGTAAATGTATCACAAAGTAACTGCAGAAGACCCCCTCCCCCCTCTTAGATGAGCTGAGAAAGAAAACGTTCCTGCGTTATTACTCGGGAGCTGAAATCAGCAAGCAATACGAGAACAAGGTCATTCACAGGCTTGTTTGGGATAGATTAAGGCCAATATTCATGGAAACAGAAAACCTAGAGGTGAGGGGGGTGGGGGGTAGACTTTTAATAGTACCTGTATTAAACCATACCCCACATTACTCTCCTTCTTGAAATCAGGCAGGTCTGCTCTGACCCATTTGGGTAAAGCTGTTGAGATGGAATGAAACAGGTTCATTTCTGCTCCATCAGAAAAATGCAAAGTGATTTTTGGCATGGTTCTGACTTAGTCTGCAAACACCACAGAAGGACATGTCAAACGCTGGCTGCTATCTGATTAATACAGTCATGCTTAAGGGGGGAAAAAAGTAGGGGGGAGACAGAGAAAAGAACAGCCACACTAAAATTTGACAGTTTCTTCCTGACCCCAAAGACATAAATCATATCTGTTCAACTGTCAGTTCTAATCAGAAAGTGAAAACTCAGCATGCAGCATTTTAGTCTGACAATGAGAAACATTTAACTTTTTTTTTCCATTTGCTTTTGCTTTGTTTGCTTTTGATCAAATCAGAGTAAGACCCACTCCCTACCCTAGTCTCAGACTTTTGATATCATCTAACCAGTTATGATTTGTATTCACTTGTGCCGAGAGAAAATAAACAGACATTTTCAAAGTACTATGTGAAGTAGTGCTAAAACCCTTTTCCAAATTACATTTATTTAAGGGGCCACACCCTAAACTTCACTGTCTGCAATTCTGAATCTCAGAGTAGTCCCGATTTCTGTGAAAACATTTCTTTATTCCTGTACATAAAACTTACGTTTTTTTCAGTTAGCAGACTTTGGTCCTTTAGTTAAATCGACACACTAAACTGCATTATTTTTGTATTTTAAAAAGCAATTAAAATCCTAAGGCTTTTTAACCTTTAAAATAGATTTTTTAATCAGGCATAGGCAATTGAAAAAAATACACCACTTAAGCTACTAGTTATCCCTAGCCCCCCAAAAAAAGCACTCATTTTGCTAGAAGTATACTTAGTATACCTCTTTTTCTTAGACCAAGAATGGAGGCTAAATATATAGGAAGAAAGACTAAGATCAGGATTCAAATGCCATACTTGATACACTGCTGTAAACTAAGTAAGAATTATTTTCACAATGGAATACCATATAGCTATTAAAATGAGGGAGAGATTTGTACGTACTGACATGTAACAGTGCTTGATGTATAATTCAATGATTAAAAAAAATTACAGAGGAGACTCTGTGTGTGTGTGTGTGTGTGTGTGTGTGTGTGTAAAATAATCCTATTTTCAAGAAAATAAATAATATGCTATGTGCCTCAAAAACAGAATATATACACTCAACAGTTCAAGATGATATATGGGTGCATTACAGGTAAGTTTCACTTTCTGTAGCATCTGAACTTTGAACAGTGCTCAAATACTAGTTCTGCAATCTGCAATCGTAATTAAATAACTTTTTTTCTCACTCACTCCCTGGATTGTGGTTTACGCTATACCTTTGGGTGGCTCTATCTTGAAAGTTAAATGTAAACTCCAGCTTGTGAGATAAGAACCCTTAAGAGTTAGAACAGCTTGATTTGAATGGCAGTAAGAGGGGTGACGTAGGATAAGGGAATTAGGGAACAGGAAGAGAGAGAGAGAGAGAGAGAGTGTGTGTGTGTGTTTGTATGCGTGTGCACACAACCCTCACAGTAAGGCGGGAGGGTTACTAAAAAAAGATGAACTAAAGAACTAAAAAGCAGCAGCAGAGAGTAGGGTGGGTGACTCAAGACTAGAGGGAGGGTTTTCGTGAACAGCCACAAAGAAACGCCTCTGACAGTTCCTGGTTAACAGCCACAGAGGACCCAGGAAAAAAGAGGTGTGTAAAACCCATCCTTTTCAAAAGGCAGTGGGAGGTGACAGGAGCTGCTCTGCAGAGAAGTGAGTGGCAATGGAAGGCCTGGAGGAGAAGAATGAAGAAGCCTAGAGACGAACCCTGGAAGCTGAAAGCCCCCCGGCGGGAAACGGCCCCGGGTGCATGAGGCCGCAGAACTGCACCCCGCGGCCTTCTGCGTGCGGTCTCTGAGATGGGGTTACAGTCCAGAAAGGCTGACGCACCAAGAGCAGTTGGCCAAGCACGGCAGGCGGCGCCCCGTTCATTAGCAGACAGTGGGGACGGAGGTTCTGGTCCCAGAAGCACCTTGGTCCCTTCCTCGGAGGGGGCAGTAGAAACACCGAAGGAGTGGGCACAGGCTGCTTCTCTTGCGGAGCTGTCAGGAAAGCCCACTACACTTCCCTACAAGGGCTTCTCTCTCCCGGCCTGCCCTCCAGGAGGAAGCAAACTTTGAAGCGATAGAAACTGTGCCTGGCCAAGAACCGAGGCCTTAGACCACACAGTGCAGCTCAAGGGCCATAAAGCAGGCTTTTCAGGATATTACGGAATTACGACCGGGAACCTGCTCATAGCTAAAATGACAGTCAGAGACACAAGTTATTTCAAAGCTGCAAATCATCTGATTCTGCTGAATCTCTAACATCATAGGGCTTCCCTTGTGGCTCACCTGGTAAAGAATCCACCAGCAATGCAGGAGACCCGGTTCAATCCCTGGGTCAGGAAGATCCCCTGGTGAAAGGAATGGCTACCCACTCCAGTATTCTTGCCTGGAGAATTCCACAGACAGAGGAATCTGGCAGGTCACAGAGTTGGACGCAACTGAGCAACTAACACTGACTATACTGAACCTAATGTGGGGTGGGGGGGCAAAGGAGGGGGGTCTTCTAAACTTACTTTTTCTATTAAATATCCCCTTTGGGTTGCTTATTCCAAACAAAATGAAATAATTCTATTAAGTTCCAAAAGTCTTTCTTTCCACATTTATAGGTCACCATGGCCAAAAGATACTCATTGGACAAATATTTCTAGAGGAGCTACTATATGTTCAGCACTGTGTTAAAACCAGGAAAACAGATGAAAAACAAATACACAAGTCTAAAGATAAAACTTACGATTTAAGTCTTACTTAAGTCCAAGTAGAATACAAAGTATGAAACCTCCAAATAACTTTGTGATCAAAAGACGTCTGGAGGGAAATGGTAGAGAGAGCCTATTATGGTTCCTTTTCCACCATGAAATGAGGTGCTATGTACTTGGATCCCAGTAAATTTTTTGGCCCCCTTAATCTGTATTTGAAAAAGACAGATACTAAAGCAAAATTAAACTAAAAAACAATATTTTTTAAAAGATGAAAAATTCCAGTATATACACCATAGTCTTACCTTCATCTGTTTGGGTTCTGGAATTTCTAGAACAAAGAAAGGACTTCAATGGGCTAATCAAATGCAGTTAAGATTTAACTAAGTACCTGGCAAGTCAGCTGCTTAAGTGGGGGTGAACTCTGGGAGCACAAAGGAAAAGGAACTAGCTTTACCCAGGTATACACCTAGAGAGACAAAATAGGTATCTAGGGAGACAAAACCTAAATAATTACAATGCACAGTAGAATGATGTAAGGTTTAAAACTGCCCCAATCTAAATTCTGGAACTTGCTCAGGCCGGATGACGGGACATTAAGGAGGTCCCTCAAAGCTTGCAGACCTCTAAAATTATACAGGGTGAGAAAACAGAGTGGGGAGGAAACTTCAGAGAGTACGTCACACGTGATGGAAACAGGCCCCTAGGTTACCACCTCATCGGCTGTGTGTGGACAGAGCACTGCTTAATCCAGGCTTCTGCTGATGAGCCTGGTGATAACCAGGGAATGCCCTGGGCCTGTTGATTTATGCTCCACTATCTGAAAGATCACTCGGCCACTTTTCTACCCCCTCAAGGGGAACTCAAATGACAGGCTTCAAATGACAGGTCTTACACCAGTCCTGAACCAAGGAGCAGACTGAGAAAGCTGCTGTACCTTGGAATTCCAAAAGCGAATATCTTAGACGTTAAAAGACATGTCAAAAAATCCAATTAATTCACCTCATCTAATTAAATGAGTTAACTGGAAATACAAAATAATCCTTTTATCTCTACTACTACTTAAATCTGCAAGTCAGCTTACTGGGAGAAAGAAAAGCAGTTTTTATTTTGTGGGGAAGAGATGAGCGAACTGTAGGACAAGGACAGGGGGACAAAAAAAAAAAAAGTTCCTGATTCTTGAATAGAAAACAATATGCAACACTGACCCAATAATATTCCCAGAAAAAAAATGATTTTAAATATTTCCTCCACATACAAACACACACAAGATTAGAGTCGCTATTATGAATAAAATACACACCAGCACTATCGTGTTGGAGATGACGGCGGAAGGTCCCACTTACACTTAATGAACTGTCCCTAGAGTTTCTTTTGCAAAAGCTAATGTTAAAGAACACTCTATAGGATTCTGTGATTTACAACAAGGATATGATCCTGTTCTTTTGGGGGAGGGGAGAAGTAATAAAGTGCCAAGGGATGAGGTGCGGCCCGTGTGGTACATCTTAATCACACAGTCAGGCCCGCTTCAGTATGGAATAAAGTAGGAATCAGATCACATCTGGATTTGCTGGCAGAAATGGTTATTTCAGAACAGCTCCTACCACGTGTTTGTTCATAACTGCAGCTGTGTCTCCCAAGAGAAAGAATGAAAATATAAATTACGATGTGTCTGAACCCTCCCAGATCTTCAGAACACAGGCTAAAATTTCCTCCCCAACATTCACCCTGACTGCAATTACAAATTTATCATCAAGGGTAGGTACAGCACTGCTTTAACTTAGCACACAGAAAGGGTCCAGAGATCTGGTTCCTTCTGCAGCTGATACCTTCCTAAAGAAAAGCCATCAATTGTTAACTATCATGCAAATTTGGGAAAGTAGAAAGTTATTCACTGTTATTGCTTCCTGATTTGCTAAGTACCCCCATCATGAGGGGACTGCGCCTTCATCTACTTGAATTGAGAGAGAAGAAAAAAGAAAAAAATAGTATTATCTTCTCTGTCTCAAGCAGGTTTAGCTCAGAAAGTCATTTCAGGAGATGCCACTGGCAAGTCTGCCACTGTTTTACTGCCTTTTCAAAAAGCAGGAACAATGGATGGAAGCGGGGGTTGGGGGAGGATGGATACGTGTATATGTATGATTGGATCATTCTGCTGTGCACTAGAAACTATCAGAACACTGTTAACCGGCTATACTCCAATAAGAAGTAAAAAGTTTAAATAAGAAAAAAAAGAGGCAGGAACAAGAAGATTCATGTCATTGCTCAGCTTCACAGAATGGGTGGGAAGCATGATGTGTACATTTGTAAAAGGGAAAAAAATGTCTAAGGCATTAAGTCATATTAATGATCTGCATCCTTGGTGAAACAACTTCTGGGAAATGAAAATCTGTTGTATTTTGGCAACAGTTACAACAGGTGGTTGGAATTCTGGGCACTTGCCAAACCACCTAGAACTTCTATATGACTAGCAAGCTACTGTATCACATTGCAGGTTACAGTTAGACTGAGCTATAAACAGAGCCAATGGAAGAAACGAAAGGGATGATAAATAGACACAAGCGGTAAATCGGAAGCTCTACAAGACAAAGATGATTTAATGGCACAGGAAGATTAATGACCGTAACAATGGTTACTGATCGCTTACCCTGTAAGCATTGTTCTAAGCATCTCATGTGTAATATTCACTTAGTCCTCACAGTCACAACCCTATGAAGGAGGAGCTATTACCATCCGCATGTTATAAGTGAAGAAATGGGAGGAAAGAAGTCACCCAGCGTTTCATGGCTGGTGGCAGGACTACCATTCAAATTCAAGCCCCTGGTTTCCAGAGCCCAAGTGCATGACCTCTGCGCCATACGGTCACACTCCTGCAAGTCAAGAGGCAGGTGCTTCATTCGCTGTTCTGTCACAACCAGCCACATGACCTTGGGCAAGTTGCCCAACATCCCTGGACTCTACTTCCTTATCTGTATAATACAACAGTTACATCAGATCTTTAAGATCACGCCAGCGATCTTATTTCTCCTCCTTCCAGATAAAAATGACACCACGATAGCATGATGGAACACCAGGCTCCTCTGCTCAGATGAAAAGACAGATGCGAAGACATGCGGATGTGTGTGCAGACAGACCCGACAGCTCCCATCAGGGACGGACTCACAGGACTCTGCAAGAACACCAGTAAAGGGAAACCTGAGGACCCAGCAAGGCCCCAAATGCCACCGACACCCCCGGAATATCTACTTCATACTTGGAATTTAAGAGCACTTAATCTCTGAGCTTATTTTTATAGAAACTTTAGATTTATTCTGACAGCATCATTTACAGTAGCCATGACACAGAAACAATCTAAGGACAGATCAAGGAAATGTGGTTCATATACACAATGGAATATTATTCAGCCTTAAGAAAGAGGGAGATCTTGCCATTTGCGACAACACAGATAGATCTTGAGGGTATTATGGCAGGTGAAATAAGTCAGAAAAAGACAAATACCATATGAATACCACTTGTGAATGAAAAGTTGGTCAAAAAGTACAAACTTTCAGTTTTAAGATAAATGGTCCTAGGGATATAATGTATAGCATGGTGTCCAGAGTTAACAACACTATAATGTATGTTTGAAAGCTCTTAAAAGAGTAAGTCTTAAAATTTCTCAGCACAAGAAAAAAATTTATAAAAATGTATGGTGATGGATGTTCACTAAACTTACTGTATTAACCGTTTCACAACATATACATATTGCTAATATATAGGTGAACTTCCCTGGTAGCTTAGATGGTAAAGAATCTGCCTGCAATGCAGGAAATCCAGGTTTGATCCCTGCATTGGGAAGATCCCCTGGAGAAGGGAACAGCTACCCACTTCAGTATTCTTGCCTAGAGAATTCCATGGACAGAGGAGCCTGGCACAATACATATATATATAATATTCTACAATATATATCATCATTTGGCAATATATATGATATATACATATATATGTATATGTAAAATCATGATGTACACCTAAAACTAACACAATGTTATATGTCAATTATATCTCAATTTTTCAAAAGGGTCTATTTTGATATTCCATCTTTGTTATTCTCTTTTCAGAGAAGGCAACAGCACCCCACTCCAGTACTCTTGCCTGGAAAATCCCATGGATGGAGGAGCCTGGTGGGCTGCAGTCTACTGGGTCACTAAGAGTCAGACATGACTGAGCGACTTCACTTTCACTTTTCACTTTCAGGCATTGGAGAAGGAAATGGCAACCCACTCCAGTGTTCTTGCCTGGAGAATTCTAGGGACTGGGGGAGCCTGGTGGGCTGCCGACTATGGGGTTGCACAGAGTCGGACACGACTGAAGCGACTTAGCAGCAGCAGCAGCATT